TCCTCATGTCTTATTTCCCTCTTAGATAAAAAGTCAAACTCTCACATGACATACTCCTCTCTTAATCAATGTTGCAACATCTGAACAATTCCTGATATTTTTTTTTTTATAAAGCTTTTAATAAAAGTTTTTAAAAAAGGTTTCTTTTATAATAAAAATAAACTTTATAGAAATGTAACCTTTTGTTTTTTTTTTATAAACATCTGCAGTGAGATGTTGAAAACACACAGACTGAACTGACCCAGCTACGTTTGTCGCTAGTTTAAGCACATAAATGATTAACATGCTTGTGTAGAAAACCAAATACCTGAATATATGTGCATGTTAATAGGTTACAATGCCAGAAAAATAAGTGACATACAGATAAGCAAAACTCATGTAACCCCTCAGAAAAGAATCAGCAGCCAGGTGTTTTTCAGGTGCTGTTATAATAAATTCATAATTGTTTCACCAGTCGTACAAGAAATAAGAATTGTTTTCACATTGTAAATGTATTTACTGTTTGTAGGTTGTCTATAAGTGTGTATTTTAAGATGCAAAGCACTTGGCAACTGATTGTATCGATTGATTCATTATCTTATTATTGTGTGTAAAACAAGGAGCTCTATCCAGCAACGTTGCTCAAAGGCCTCTTTGGCAAATTTTTAACTTTATTAAAGTTAAAGTCATGGATTAGAAGTTCATAGAAACTCAGATGAATTGATATATCAGAAAAAAAGCCTCACCTGCTATTGTTTTAACGGGGCATTTAAGGTTTCCACTTCCTGGATCAACAGTGACTTTGTTAGAAACAATACATTCTTTTCACCACTGATAAAATACTTCTAAATTAAATATCTGATTTAATTATTTTTTTCAGTGAGGCTGGCCTATTAGAGTTATATTGTTTGTACATTTTGTCCGGGGGTGGAGGGGAAGGCAGTTTAATCCAGTAATCATAACAGTTCCTGCCACAGTCCTCCCACTTGCTCCTGAGGCGGCTCCAACCGGCAGGAGAAAAGGGACACTGTGACCAAATCAACCAAAAAACAGAAGGAAGGGTGTTCTGCTGATTCATGACTGAGTCATTATGGGGGCTTTTTGCACGCCAAGTGACTCAGAAATGCTTCAGGATGCATTTTTCCATTTCCTTTCAGTTTACGGCTGTAGATGACAGTACAAACAATAGAGCCAAAGAGGCCTTGAGGCATGTGGGAAGGGTTTGTTTAACTTGGAAGCTACTTGATATCTGAAAAGCAAGGGAGACAAATTGAAATGCTAGTATTATACAATGACTGTAACAGCTGCCAAAATAACCTTTACGGTCATAGTCCACATAGAGTTTACTACAGCTCTTTTTATGATCCATTAGCAATAAAATGTTATTGGCTTTCCCTTTAGAATATAAGTCTTAATAACCTGAGCTCATGCATTACATTAAATAGATGTGATCACAGTACATAAATAATTAGATTTAAAAACAGTGAAACTCTTAAAACTCTATTCAAGGTCACGGAAACATAGAACAAGATCCTCATACAAATGTCAGACTAGTGAAAGGCATGTCATGTTCTGCACAGAATGCACTCAGACCTCCTTTTGCATGTGTAATGGCCTAGTATTAGTGGGTCAGGGCAGCGCAGCATGGAGGAGATCGGTCTGTAGGCCTGCTGAGAGGTTATGGACACAGGCCTCTGTAGAATCTGAAGTAGCAAGACAACTTTAGATTCAATTCTGACTTTCCAATACCACAAAGCTTTAGTTAGGCTAATCACCATGGCAACATACTCTGAAGTGCAAACGTGCTCCAGAGCAGGCTAGCTTTCAAGAATGATCTAAATCCTAGAAAACGCTCCACCTGCAGCCAGTCAAGTGCTCGAGAAAGAAGTGCTGTTTCATTGAAGATCAGATTTAATTCAGAGCCAAAATTAAACAAAACATCATCACTATAAAAAATTTATTTTTTTTTCATCCTTGTTTTTCCCACTTTTTGACACACCTACCTTTTACTATTCTGTATTTGTTTTCTCATGTGTAATGTTCTCATACACGGCTGGCAGTCACTTGTTTCTTGTATAAATGTTATATGAAGCTAAATGATAAGAAAAGGAACAATATAATAAAAATCTGCACAAATTGCAAAGAGATCCACCATAGGATCATGATGACAATAAAGGTTTTCATGATCCTAGAACAGTTTTACATTTAACAGCTATTCCCAGGAGTGCGGCCCTCACTGTATCACAGCCTGCATGTATAGTGATGCAATATTACGCAACATGCAGCTTCATGTACACAGTGGTCCCTCCAGAAAGGTTTCATAGGGGTGGCCAGATGGGGCTACTAAAAATTTTGGAGTGGCACACTGAAACTAAAAGCCATAATTTCAGGGTTTTAATCAACTATTGTGGTAAACCTGCCTGTAGAAATCTTAAAGACCTAAGAAAACAAATTATAAATTGGATTATTGTGTAATTTAATTTAATTTAATGTTACAACACTGGCTGTGTGTAATGGGATGAAATCCTGAACTGATGCTCTACAATTTACACTGGTAAGTGGGACAGCCAGTGGGGTGGCCAGGGCATTGCACAGGGTGGCCCGGGCCACCCCCTGATGGCGCCACTGCATGAACACTGTGGGGGATGCGAAACAGCTCTGGAAAAATAGTCTGTGGGACCTCATGCACTGATGAATTAATTCATCCTCTCTACTGGTCACTGCCTGAAACCATATTAAATCATTAATGCCATCGCAGGCGAGTCAATACCTTATATCTTTGAACATTTATATTCATCCCAATATGACAATCAGGCTTGTAGATATAAAATTAGGCTGATGTAACTGTGACTCCTTTTCACCAGGTTTGCATTTGGCTAGGGTCACTGTCACTACTGTTAGCATGAGGAGCTACCTGGACTCTACAGAGGTTGCACAGGCAGTCCAACTACTCCAGGATGGCACATCAATACGTGCCATTGCCAGAAGGTTTGTTGTGTCTCCCAGCACAATCTCAAGAGCATGGAGGAGATTCCAGGAGATAGGCAGTTACGCCAGGAGTGCTCGACAGGGCAGTAGAAGGTCTACAACCCATCAGCAGGACCGGTATCTGCTCCTTTGTGCAAGGAGGAGCAGGAGGAGCACTGCCATAGCCCGACAAAATGACCTCCAGCAGGACATTGGTGTTAATGTCTGTGACCAAACAATCAGAAACAGACTTCAGGAGCGTGGCCTGAGGGCCCGACGTCCTATAGTGGGCCCTGTGCTCACTGCCCGGCACCTTGGAGCTCGATTGGCATTCGCCACAGAACACCGGAATTGGCAAGCCGCCACTAGCGCCCTGTGCTTTTCACAGATGAAAGCAGGTTCACCCTGAGCACATGTGACAGACATGAAAGGGTCTGGAGAAGCCATGGAGAACATTATGCTGCCTGTAACATCATTCAGTATGACCTGATTGGTGGTGGGTCAGTGATGGTCTGGGGAGGCATGTCCATGGAGGGACGCACAGACCTATACAGGCTAGACAACGGCACTCGGACTGCAACAAGGTATCGGGATGAAATCCTTGCACCCATTGTCAGACCCTATGCTGGTGCAGTGGGTCCTGGGTTCCTCCTGGATGTACGACAACGCCCGGCCTCATGTGGCGAGAGTATGCAGGCAGTTCCTGGAGTATGAAGGAATTGATACCATTGATTGGCCACCACACTCGCCTGACCTAAATCAAATAGAACACCTCTGGGACATTATGTTTTGATCCATCCGACACCGCCAGGTTGCACCTCAGACTGTCCAGGAGCTCAGTGATCCCCTGGTCCAGATCTGGGAGGAGATGCCCCTGGATGCCATCCATCGTCTCATTAGGAGCATGCCCCGACATTGTCAGGCATGCATACACACACCTCGGGGCCATACAAATTACTGAATACCATTTTGAGTTGCTGCAATGAAATTTCAGCAAAATGGACTAGCCTGCCGCATCATTTTTTTACTGTAATTTTTGAAGTGTCTTTGAATTCAGCAGTCCGTAGGTTTGATGTGGTATCCTTTTGTTCCTAACACATCACGCAGTCCATTTCAATATAAACAGCATGATTTTTTGCCCCATTGAGATCTGATTTGTTTTCAAAGTGTTCCTTTCATTTTTTTGAGCAGTGTATATATACTGGTATCCTCATATTATTCTTCCTGTTTTATGTAACAGTATAAATAGAAACAAGCCAACTTACACTTTAGTAACAGGATAACCCGCACAGATTACATTTTACAATCAGAAATCCTTTGCCACTGCATTTGCTGTCTTTCCTTAGTGCCACCATGTTTGACTTTCCATTAAAAACCTGCCCCGTTATATATGTGGTTCAGATTCTTGATCAGTCAAAGCTGGATTTAGTTTATAATCAAATTTACTGCTGATCCCGATTTCCATCTTTGTGGATTAATTAAAATGGAAATAATCCTGCTAAATTAAGCTCACTTTGTTGTACAGGTCTCAGCTTGTTTGTAACATTGGCTCTGGTGTGATATTGTCCTCTCTGGAAATGGCTTTGATTAGATCATCTGAGGGCTGCAGTCATTTCACTTTGTACTGGATACACTACTTTTTCCTTCCACTCAATTTTCCATTAATACTTAAACATCAAGCTTCCTTGGCGGCAACCTCTTGAAATTCAAGTTTTTATTAGTTGTAAACTGAAACTATCAAAATGAAAAAAAAAAACCTGCATTTAATCAATTTCAGTCAGTGAAAGAGTTAGACCAGAAATAAAAGGCTGGATGCGTGTTCAAACGTGCAACAGTCTGTTTTCTGGTCTTTATGCTCTGGTAGCTTGACTGACAATTAATCTACTTAGATATTGAACCCTGAACACCTTTGTATATTTTTCACCTACTTTCCCTCAGTCACAGCACCTTGTTTAAAGTTGACATAAACAGTTAAGCATAGAAAACTTTAGAAGTGTCTATGAAATCTGCTGATCATGTGCTGCTCAGCTGCAACAAATAAAGACACACCGGTATCTCTGTAGAGTTGTGCATTTATGGAAAAATACAATAAATCTCTTTGCAGCTCAAACATCAACTTCAAACAGATTGTAAAACAAAACTCTTAAAGTAGGCCTTGATGCCACTACAAAGCAAAAAAAACAGCACTAGTATTACAACTTCTCCTGAATGATATCGTTAACCAACGTGTGAACCTTTCCACGTCAATTCTCATTGTACAGTGATAAAACAAAATATCTGCAAAATTACAAAACAAATAATAATTTAGTTAACTTAAAACTAGTCGCCTATGAACATGACCTTCATCCAAAGATGTGCAACTTTCAGTACCGAGGCTTTGTGTTGATAAACTAACAAGCTCTGAATTAAATAATGTGTTTGACTCTTTGGATGACAGAACAAACTGCTACAGTTTCATCACAGCAGTCTGTGCACAACTGCTTTCAAAGAAAAAAGATGTGCTAATATTTCTTCAGCCTCTCGCACTGTGTATTTTGTGTGGAATCCATTGCGTGTGAGGAAAAGTCCTGACTTTTCAAACACAATGTCATTTGGAATCTCCCAACAGGTGGATGATGAGTTCATAGGTGGACAGGACGATGGCCGTGTTGGGGATTTGTCTAATCAGCTGTGGAATGAGTCCTCTGTAAAAAGCTGCATAGCCTTCCTCCACAGCTATCAACCTCCCCGTCTGGAAGAAGTACTTGTACTTGCTGCCTTCTTCCCGCAGCCTCGTCCGGATGACCTCTGTTTTTAGACACAATGTAAAACAGTCAGACAAACACAAATTCATCAGGATTATGTTACATCTCAATAAACCCATTATTCACCATGTGGGTAAGCTATGCAGGACGCACAGCCCTTTGAAAAAGCTGCCGCCATCATCAACCGCAGGAAGTCTGATGCTCCCTTCTCATCTCCGTTCGGGGAGGCAAACTGCCTCTTGGCGAGGTGCTTCTTCAGAGTCTCGTAGATGAGGAAGCAGATCATGGTCTCCGAGATGCCTGCATAGGACGCTGTGAGGCCACGGTAGAAGCCACGCACTCCCTCTGTTCTGTAAACGTAGCGGGCGCACTGCAGCGCATTCATCTTCTTCTCTCCTCGGGCTCTAAAAGTCAAACAGTATGAATCAGTGATGACAACAATTATATGCGTTCTCTAATGGTTTTTCAAATCCAGTTAAAAATACATAAATCACACAACACACAAGGGAATGACAATACATCAAAGAGGAGGTTTGAGGAACATGACCAAGAGGAGGTGGGTTTTAAAAGTGAGCATTATGTTGGTTCACAATCCGGTTCTGATGATCATCAATAAAGCCAAGACGGTCAGAGGAGACAAACATTCTGTTCATATCCATTAACCAGTTAAGGGAACATATAATTCAATGTTTTCCTTATCCTTGATCAATTATTAACCTGGCTATTTGGGCTTTTGTTGTCAACATAGTAAATAATTCTAAAGATATGTTGCAAAATAGACCATTAAAAAAAATGTCCCTAAGGAACAGTGATGTGTATTTGAACTTTTACTTCCTTAAAGAACAAATAAAGTGGCTGGTCACAGGCCTGAGCAGCAGAAAATGAATCCTTCTTTGAGGACAGCTTGAACAGGCTTGTGTTCTGTGACCTTACGAGATACCACTGCTTTTTTTTTGAACTTTTTATTTTTAAAACTTTTCACAACAAAAGAACATTCCCTGAGCCAAGAGTAATTAAATCAATAACAGAAATACTGATGCCACATATACAATATTTCAACATAAATGCAGCACGATAAACCAGGTCACCTGAGACTTTGAATACCTTACAAGAGAGAACTGCACGTATACATACACACAAACCCACACCCCTCCCCCTCCCCTCCAGGGTGCTTACCCACAGGCCAAAAATACAACATACAGTAAACGAACAGCAAAAAATTATATATATAATATATACCCACCTATGAGTATACATACACACACGTATTCAACTATATACCTTAGTAGTACCGATGACGGAGCAGATTGCGATCCATTAGAATCACTAGAGCCCAAAATCACAAACCCAAATACAATTTCACCAAATGCCATCTTTGATTGAACTTGTCCACTTTGAGTTGTAAACCAGCAGTAATTTTTTCCATCATATACATTTGTTTTACCCGATTCTTCCACTCTGCTATAGATGGTGACGAAACTTGTCTCCAGTTTGCCGTTATAGTTTTTTTAGCTACCAATAGTAAAATGTGCAAAATATACTTTTGGTCTTCATTAAAACAGTCTGGTATTATATTCAGTAAATAAAACAAAGCATTTGAAGGTATTTCTCTGTTTATAATTGTCTCTATTTCATCTCTAATCCCCTTCCAGTACTGACTGATAACCGGACAGTCCCACAGAATGTGCGTATGGTCACCAATCTTCCCGCATTGTCTCCAACATAGGGCCGCTGAAGGATTTTTGACAAATCTAGAAATTAAAAATGGGGTGCGAAAAAATCTTATTAAAATTTTCCAACTGAATTCTCTCCACATTTGGCTGTTAGTTCCTTTGTGACTGCCCTCGCACAATTTGTCCCATTGTTCGTCCTCTATTATAGAATTGGATTCTAATTCCCAGTTTTCTTTTACATTATAGGTATTATGATAATTATTAGATGAGATAATTTTATACAAATGTGAGACATGTTTTCGGGTTGGAAAGGTCTTTTCTCCAATAGTAATAAAATATTGTTCTATATCATTTGGGTTTCTATTAAGTCTATTACGTTCCTTGTGACTAGTAATGTAGTGCCTAATTTGCAGATATCTATATAAATCATTTGCAGGGAGATCAAACTGTTCCTGAAGTTGTGCGAAGGACTTTAAGTCAGCCCCATAGAATAATTGGTTTAATATTTTAAGACCTTTAGCTGCCCATCTCTTAAAGCCTTGGTCCCATGTGGAAGGCGGAAAGTCTATATTACCCACAATAGGCATAGCTCTGGAGACTGACCCTGTATCTCTAAGCATCTTTTTAACCTCTGTCCATATTTTTAAAGTGTGTTTGGTCCATTCATTTCCAATTTTCATTTTATTAACAGTTCTGATATCTAGGAAGGGAAGAGTAGATAATTGTATACCTTTAGTTTCACCCCGTTCTATTTGAAGCCATTTTGCTTCCTCATCCCCTCCAATCCAAGTCACAATGGCTGATAACTGCGCTGCCCAATAATACCATTTTAAATTGGGTAGAGCTAAACCACCCCTGTTTTTGGGTAAGTGAAGTGTTTTAAGTCTAATTCTTGGTCTTTTTTGTTGCCAAATAAATTGAGATATTAATTTGCTGAGTATGTTAAATGTTGAAACTGGGACTCTTACTGGCAAAGATTGGAACAAGAACAGAAGACGAGGAAGCAGATTCATTCTAACAGTTTCCACTCTGCCATATAGGGACAAAGGTAGGACCTCCCATCTGGACAGGTCAATTTTGATTTTCTTTATCAATTTGTTGTAATTAGCATCGAACAGTTGTGAAGGTTTGGGTGTAAGAATTATCCCTAAATACCTGAAACCCTTTTCTGACCAATGAAAAATATCACTAAGTTGGCCTGGCCGTTGTCCCGACGTCATTAATGCTTCTGATTTACTTTGGTTAATTTTGTATCCAGATATGTCACCATATTCCTTTAAGCAATGCATGAGTCTAGGGACTGAAGTAAGAGGGTGTCTTATAAATAATAAAATATCATCAGCGAAGAGGGCAATTTTATGAATTGCCCCCTCTCCATCCCTGATTCCTTGTATGTGATCGTCTCGACGTATGGCCTCTGCCAAAGGTTCGATACTCAGGGAGAACAAAATAGGGGACAAGGAATCGCCCTGCCGCACCCCTCGCTCCACATTGAAAAACTCTGAACAACACCCATTAACTCTAACCCTGGATTTAGAATTTTTATAAAATAACATAACCCAACTAACGAATGTTTCACCAAAGCCCATCTCAATTAGTGTATGTTTAAGAAATTGCCAATCAACACGGTCGAACGCTTTTTCGGCGTCTAAACTAAGAAGCATGGATGGTTGGGGATCTTTTGTCATCAAGGATTGTAAATTTAGAGCTCTTCTTACGTTATTAGATCCCTGTCGACCCAGGATAAACCCAGTTTGATCTGGATTAATTAGTTTTTTTATATACTTTTGGATTCGAGTGGATATAATTGATGTCAGTATTTTATAGTCTACACAAAGAAGGCTAATCGGACGGTAACTTGCACAATGCAGTGGATCTTTTCCCTCCTTGTGTAGAACCGTGATGATCGCTTCAGACCAGGACTCTGGAGGGTTCCCTGAATCCAGGACATAATTGTAAAGCTTGCATAGTATGGGTGAGAGATCATTAATGAATACCTTGTAAAATTCTCCTGCGAACCCATCGGTTCCTGGTGTCTTGTTGTGTTTCAATTTACCAATAGTCTCTCTAATTTCATCTTCTCTAATGGGTTCAACTAGCCTTGAAGCTTCATCTGTTGTCAGTTTAGTCATTTTCACGGATTTAAAAAACGTATAAATTTTGTCTTCTTTTGATTCCTGGTTTTGACTCTTGTATAACTGTTCATAAAATTTAGCAAAATTGTCTGATATTGTTTTTGGACTAGTTACCATTGAATTACTATTAAGTTGCTTAATTTTTGGGACGATACGACTCGCCTGAGCCTTTTTCAGTTGAAATGCTAGTAAACGGCTAGCCTTATTTCCAAATTCGTAGTATTTCCTGTCTACAAATCTGAGGGCTCCCTCCGCCCTATAAGTCAACAAATCATCTAACTTATTTCTATTTTCTTTAAGTTTGTCCAAAACTTCTTTTTTCATTTGTTGTTTGTGTTCATCCTCCAATCTTTTGATTTCATTCTCAATCTGAAATTGTTTTTGCATCCTTTGTTTCTTTAATCTGGATCCTATGGAAATTATTTTGCCCCTTATTGTGGCTTTTGCCGCGTCCCACAAGACGGAGGATGAGACCATTCCATTGTCGTTAAAAACAAAGTATTCCTCAATGGCCGTCTGTATTTCTTCTCGAATAAGTGTATCTGTTAATATTGATACATTTAACCGCCAATACCGAAAAAAAGGTTCCAAACCCAGGTCGAGTTTCATTGTCACAGGGCTGTGATCCGAAATTGTAATTGACTCTATTAAGCATTCTTTAACCTGATGGATGTTCTTTTTTGTTATTAAGAAGTGATCTAGTCTGGAGTAGCTGCCATGTACTTGGGACATAAATGTGAAATTTTTCTCCTTTGGATGGAGATGACGCCAGATGTCAATTAGACCGAGTTCAGTCATCATGGTCGCTAGACTTTTTGACATTCTACTTTGGGATTTGAATGTTGGGGGTAATTTATCTAATTTATTACTAAGAACACAATTCATATCCCCACCTATAAGCAGTAAGCCCTCTCCTTTCTCCGCCAAAAGATTAGCCAGTTTTTTGAAAAAAAATGAACAATCCTCGTTCGGAGCATACACATTTAAGATACTTAATTTTATCCCAGCAATGGTTCCCACTACCATTATATATCGTCCCTCCGGATCCTGATAAGTTTTTTCACAGTTAAAATAAACGGACTTATTAATCAAAATGGCTACTCCACGTTTTTTACTGGTTCCATAAGAACTGAAATATACTTGGTCTACCCATTCTCTTTTTAACTTTAGGTGTTCTTTTTCCGTGAGATGTGTCTCTTGAAGCAAGGCTATTGCACACTGCATCTTCTTTAGTTGTGTCAGAATTTTCTTCCTCTTAATTGGGCTGTTTATACCTTTTATGTTATATGTTATTAAAGTCAATGATGTCATCATTAAGGTTAAATTTATTAAACTGATTAATAAATTGCTGCTCCGCCTCCAGGTATGTATCCCTCATACAGAAGCATAAAAACAAAGTAACCTTTCTGCATAATGACATTGGATAAACCTCTTGAATCAGGGGAAACAAATAAAGAACACTTTGAACAAATAACAGAACTTCCAAAAATGCAGCCAGCCATAGTCCCTGAACTGTAACCATGCCTGACCCCCGATAACATTGGGACAGAGTGGTGGGCTCCTCATGCAAGTAAAACAAAAGGTCTCCTTTTTTTTTTTTCTTCTTTTAGACAACAAATAATGTTCTCAATCAGCAATTTTACCTTCAGTCTTTTCTCCTCATACTCTTACTTGACTTTGCTATACCTTTAAACAGTTTTAATCTTTTATCTTCACCTTTCTTATCTTCCTGCTCACTCCTGTTCCATCATGGCCTTCAGATCTGCTACAGACAGCGTCCCGTCTCTCTTTTTCTTCGAGCTGATGCTCCATCCACCTGCTAGTCTTTCTTCAAGGCGCTCCCTTTCTCCGTGAGACACCTGGACCCCCAACCGCTCCAGGGTGTCCGATGCCTCCATCAGCGATGCAAAAGTGCTGTCTCCAGAGTCCGTTTTAATCTTCAGGCGTGCTGGATACAAACACTTCGCCTGTACCCCCTTCTGTTTCAGCTGTTTGATAACTGCATGCACCTTTGCCCGTCTCTTTTGTAACTCCGGGGAGTAATCCTGATCAAAGAAAATCCTCTTGTCTTGAAACGAAACCTGTCCTTGTCTCCACGCTTGCTGTAAAACAACATCTTTCACCGCGGCGTCCAGAAATCTCACGATTATTGAGCGAGGAGGCGCCGCCGGGTTTAATGGCCTGGACAGGAGCGACCTGTGCGCTCTCTCGATCCTTATATCCAGATCTGGTGGCAACTTCAGCACTTTAGGCAGTAAATCCTTCACAAACTCCACCACATTCCCTTCTTCACTCCCCTCTGGGATCTGGAAAATGCGTAAATTGTTTCTCCTTAACCTGTTTTGTAGGTCGTCACATGTGGCTGCGAGTTGTGTTTCGCGCTGAAGCAGGTATCGCAGCACCCGGTGTTGCCTCCCCTCCATCTCCTCAGCCGCACCCACACGGTCCTCCAGCTCGTCAATCCTTCTCCTATGGTCGTTTAGTTGTGTCTTTATTTCGGACACAGCTGTCTCCAAGCGACCAAGTACCTCTTTGGTTTGCTTATGTCCCTCGGCGTTTTCCTGTCGCATCTTTCTCATTTCTTCCAGCATAGACGTCTCGCCCGCTAGCTTATCATGTTTTTGGCTAGCATTAGCATCTGGTGGGTCTGAGCCCGAGCTAGTGCTGCTAGCCGGGCTTAGCGGTCTTTGTTTTACGTCAGATTCCTTAGAATTCGCTTGTTTGTTTCCCGATCTGGTCTTTGAAGGGTCGCTCATTTTGTAGTCAAGTATGGTATAAATTGAATGGTATTTCTTGATAAAGTTGTCGTTATTTTTCTAACTTTTAACGGAGCCCAGTGTTTAAGCTGTTGCTTCCATCATGACGTCACCGGAAGTCCGAGATACCACTGCTTTAAACTTGGCAATGTAAATATAGCCTCCAGGACGAAGTACAGTGCGTCACTGGAGCGTATTTATAAAGGTAGATCAAAAGCTCAGCCTAACGCACTGCAGAGCTGTGCACTGAGGGTACGCCCCCCTGAATGATTTCTGCTGAAGGTCAGTTTTACTTCACCACCTGCTAACACCCGGAAATAAAACAGTCGCACCAGATCACCACCATCTGCCTTTACAGTAAAAAAAAACAAAACAGGAGCAAACCAAACACAAATTAAGTGTACATACTTCTTCTCCAGCTGCATCCTGGTCTTGACCATCCAGATGGGGTTCATCAGAGAATTGGTAACAAAAGCTGAGGACAACAAACATTTAAACATTTTAGAGTTACAGCTTATTAAGTAATAAATACTTAATTTAGCCGCGCTAACAGGTTTAATATTTTTTATGGCACTTAAAAAATCTCTGCACTTAAAAAATCTCTGTGGTGTTCCTTAAGTATTGCTATTGATCAGGAAATACTTTATAGATATGCACAGGCTGCTCACCTGCAGTACCAGCTGAGGACATGTGGACCAGTCCACTGTTGGGGACAAACAACCCATTGAACATCTCTTTCGATTTTGAATATGCAGCAAAGTAGATGGCTCTGAAAGAGAGAAACAATGATAAGGACTCTAATCTGAAGCAGATCAACTCACTTTTGTCCCCCCCCTCCCCAATGTGAATGCAAGGCTTTGACAGTGGGTATGTAGGGGAATCTCTTTCATAGTGTCATCTCTCTCTGTTCTGCTTGTAGAACAGCCGCCACTGCATCAGAAAGGGCTGAATAAGCAGTGGAAAGAACAGAGATAGGCACCAGGATGTTCTACATAGAGGCCTGTTAAAGCTGGTCAGTGTATCAGCAAAGAATAAAGACACTAGTTATTATTCAACCACAGAGAAAACTTATAAGTAACGCATAACTCTTTATCAGTGTCAGGGTCCAATCAAAGTCTGATGCCACATCAATCAGAAGTATTTGGTATGGCATGGTCATCAGAAATGGGGAAACAGGCCAAAGTACAGAACTTTGTTGACTCTAAAAATAGAAGAAAGTTGAAGCGGATACGTCACAGGATGTTCTCCTATCGAAGCTTTAGCTGTAGAGAAGTTCCCTCCCATTTCCAGCACAGTTCTTATTCTGCAACACGCATACGCCTCAAGGCTTATGAAAAACAGCCTCCTCATTCTGAGAGCTGCATCACACGCAAATTAATCGCCCGGGAGGGGCTGAGAAGCCACTGCCATAACGACGACCTCCTGTTTATACAACAAGTCTGGGTTTTCAGCTCTTAAAGAAATACAGTTGTTTATGTTCTTGCTTGTCCTTTAGCTTCACTGCGATATGCTCTAGAGATTCGCTGTTAAAAAGCACAGAGGGCAATACTTTGCTAAACTTTTTTTTTTTTTGAGTGCATGACACCATTTGCATGTGGGATTTTCTTCCACTCTATAAGGCTGCTTTGTCTGAATGACACTGGCAGCCTAACAGAATAGATGCATAACAAGACAGGGCCTGAGAAAATAAAAGGAGAAGTGTGCAATGTAAATCTGCTGTACCTTGAAGGGGCGACACCCACAAGATTCGGCCCCAGTCCACGGAAAAGAGAACTTGGTCCCTCTTTTTCAAGAATCGATCTGTAACAAACATGACAGAGAAATTGAATACACCAATTTTTAATCAAATTTTCTCTAGAACCTGATGAGGTTATTACGGGAAATGGATGTTCTAGGTCTCTGCTGCAATCATCCTCAGAGTTACATAAGCTCAGCTAGCTGGATCCTGCTCTGAACCCTGTGCCCTGACTGGTGTTCAGCGAGTCACGCCAGACATATCCTGACAGAGGAGCTTGAGGTTTTTGTAGGAAGTGATCGTTCTTAAGCATGTGACAGTCTGTCCTACCAGGAACTGTGCAGGGGGAGAGTTGCTGTAATGAATACTCTGTTAATTATGCAGGGTTCATGAACTCCACTCCTTTCGGTCACCGACACCTGGCGCCTCTTTTCAAACAATGACTTTGACTTTTTAGGTCAAAGTAATGATCAGTGTCAAGGTTTCAAACGTGGGAGCCTCATGAAATGTATTTAGTCTTCTTTCCATTGGTGTACAGATTGTCACTTAGTTTTTTTAGAAACATATTGGAAGAGAATTTAAAATAAAGACATCTAAAAAGGAAAAAAAATTATAATAATTTAAAAGAAAAATCAATTTCATAGAAATCTGAGATATATATATATTTAGCTAACAATGGCGTCCAGTTATAGGGTTTGACTGTAGGGTGAAATTAAATTTCCTTTTGTCTATTTTTCCATATTAATCATTTTGCACCTGAAGATATAGAACTATAGTCATTGGAACTTTTGGATGAAAAAAAAAATGTGTTTACTGTGCTAAGGTTTTAAATTCCTTCATGTTAACCAGGAGCAGTCACAGCCAGTTTGGTCCAGTTCAGTTTGCAAAACTAGTTGCCTGAGTGTAATATAACACTGACCCAGCACCACGGTCAATCAGCACAGCCCTCATTATTTCTCAGCCAACTGGGCTAATGTATAACTTCTCAACAATCTATGCAGAGACTATTAAGGACCAGACATCACAAAAAAAAACAAAAAAAAAACAGGTTTCAGCTGAATCATGAAGCGAAAGAAAGGGAGAGATTGTATTGGAGCAAACAGCTGGTTAAAACAACTAAAAATCAGCAGGACACAGCAGACTTAATCCTCATTTTACGTAAGACAAGATTAAAGGTCTTTGCTTTAAAGAGAATAAAAGCAAAAAGCTTTAGAAGGTATTTTCCAGAATTTCTAGACACTTTTGTTTTTTAACAATAACAAATATTTTTTCCACACGATAATCAAAATGTGTTGCAGATAAACCTGTGAGTTAGGCAACTGCTGGAAAGAAACAGATTGTAAAAAATAAAACATGCCCAGGGACAGCACATTTAGTGCTCCAATTTGCTGTTTGCCAAACATCTTACCTGAGCACCTGCAGCAGGCCTGGGGAAACAGTCCCCGGTCTAATAACCCCAGTGCCACTCAGGGTACCAAGCTGGACCTGGAAAACGGGCCGGAGGGTGAGGCCAGATGACTGCAGTCGCGTCTTTAACACCTCCAGTGGGCAGGTGACAATGGCCCCCACAGTGCCACTGCATCTACAAGAACATAGGCATTAAAATTTGTGTAAAAAACTGGGATAGCTTTAATGTATTAAACCAGGCATGTAGTGCATATGTAGCTGCAGAATGACCTTTAGCTATTGAGTGAGTTTTCACTGAAGAATGTTTTTTTTTTTTTCTCCCATAATAACACATCTGAAGAGTCACAGGCCAGGAGCAGGGAATAATTATGGTCAAAGGCATTTTCCTAACTCCACAATGGAAATTATTCACACAGACCAGGCGCATCTGGCCGACACAGTTCTGCAGCTCAGACACCCTAATTGCTCATAAAAGGAGCTTTATTCCTAAAGAAAGCCTTTTCCACTGCAGTACTTTCACCAAAACCATCCACTTTGTAGCGGAACATCTTTAATGAACAGCCTAACCTCGCAGGCAACAAGCTTAGCAGACTACAGCAGATTAGACTAAGCCTCTGTACTGTGTCATGTCTGAAGGACAAAGTCAAATATCTTGGCAAAGGTAACACCCGACCCAATTACCTATTCATTGATTACTTGTCATCTCATTGACCTGTTTGTAATCCTTCAAGGACAAATCAGACTTTATTGTCTATTCCACTAGGCATTGTTACTTAAAAATAAGTGCCAAGATTTCTAGCACTGCGGTTTATAAATAAAACTTTAGCTTTAATTAATTACCAATTTAGCTTTTTGCGAACAAGGTACACAATTATATTAGATATTATATTTTGGTTTAGCAGAACAGCTCATTGCAATAAGTTGGGGAGGGGCAGAGATGTGTCGCATTATGCTCTGTATACTGTTGGAAAACAATGCTAGTCAGCATTACACAAACATTTTTATACACAAAAAGGCTATGGTGGAAAAGCTCAGCAGTTTTGAAACCATTTCTAGTCAGATCCTTTGTATTATTTGATGCCAAATAAAAAAAGATAAAACATTTTTCATGCTAAATAGCAACCCAAAACACAAGCTGCAAAATTGTTACGACCAGGAATAATCATCCAAACAGGAAAGTTACCGTCTGTACAGAAGGAGAAACGAGCCAGGAAAATTACCTCTGAGCATCAACCCAAAACATAATTTAGATAAGGAAGCAAAGCATTCCCAACCCACTTCTTCAAGGTAAACATGGGAATCAGAGACCTTGGATTGCAACAATTAGTTGTCCTTCAAATCCAGACTAGACATAGACTGGTAGGAGGTTCATGTAGTATTACATTCTAGGGAAAAATAGCGAAATTTTCAAGGGATTGTGGTTTTAGCACACAAAAAACTGAAAATCGATAACATGACCTAGCTGCACATATTTTAAGCAAAAATATATTGACTACTTTAATAATGATTAAGAGCGTTATCTTTGCAATTTCTTTCAATTTCTTCAGATAATTAAAAATACAGTAATTATAATTAAACAATACTTTTAGGTACAGCCAATATAAAACTACTTTGTTGCCATTATTCATATAGGATAATAGTATAGAACTGAGCTGGCATTAGATGGTTGACCTGTTAGACTATCTGCTCTGATAACCCTCCTACTAAGAGTGGGGTTTTAAACCAGAGAACCTTAATGAGAGCAATGTTCAGTTACTGCACCTCAACTATGCAATTTGTTAACAACCAAGACTATTAAAAAAAAAAAAATCCTTACAATTAGCTAGGGTAAGGCCTATTTTTTCTACCTTATGGTGAACAACCATCTTAACCAGAAAGCCTGCATAAATATCATCTTTACCCACCATCTTCAGTCGGCCACCCTTTTCCTGACATTCACAAGAAGCCCTGAGTTTTCTGACAAGGATCACTGTGCTCATTTGCAAGAACACTACGGTACTCCCAGTCAGACATTATTACCAAACACACAACAAGGAAAGGAAAAGGACATTCAGAATTATGAGGAGAGGAAAATCTGGTTCCTGGAGTGGATAATTTATCCCAGTTAAAAATCAACACAATGCAACAATTATCGTTGTTAGAGACACCCTTATTCTTTGCTTTTGTCGTCTCTTCCATGTACACAGTGTATGAACTGCTGCAGTATTGGCTCTTATGAAACTTCAGCTAAATCTGCTTATTAGAAGGAATCTCTGGTGTCCTGGGACATTTATGATAAAGCCTCAAAGCTAGGGAGCCTTTATTTCAGCCAGCTGATCAAAGCTGCAGTCTGACAATCCATTATGTAATAATAAAAAAAAGACAATAAGAAAGACATTATTTTAACTCTTTGCACAACTGACAAGCTGCATTGTATGTCAAGTGAACATTTTGTCTCCTACTGTTAAACTGACATCTCTGCCCAATATTAGATAACCAGGAAGACCGATTTAGATGCAAATCAAGTCTACAAAAAATTATTCCTATATTTTTTACTCAGACTAACACATGGCTGCCATGAACCAAACACGTTCTAAAAGATGAAACCCCGGAGGCATGGCAACGACAACGGAATGACGCCATTAACAACAAAGCATTATTACATATTTAACAGTAACAATACAACACGGTATGTTCATCTATAACCGCTTTACTTGTGATAATATGGTGCTTTGAACTACAGACATTGTGTGATAGGATCGCGTGCACCATCATTTCAAACCGCTTGCACAGCCACGGTCAATCTTACATAATGCAGTGAAGGACACCTCGATGCTAACAGGCTAGCTATCAATGTGATTGTCCTAAACGCAGCCACAGTGGCGACGGCATAAAAGGCAGTCTACTAACTAGAACACATATTTCTGAAACAAGTCAATTGTTTTTTTATTTATTTATAACACAACAATAAGTAGTTAAAATAGAATCACCCTCCGTCTAGAAACTAGCTAGCATCGGTCTAACAGCTGCAGCTGATTAGTTAACTTCCGCATCTCTGGGGAGATTTCACCGGCCGGTGAATGAATAAAGAACTATTATGTTTAACTCGTTCCAATACACTCAACTAATCGTTCCACCCATTTATAATAATTCAATCAGTTGGTCACTGAATAGAAAAAAAAAACAGAACAGAAAGACGTTGGACACGCGAGGTTAGCGCTGTGCTAACAGGAGCTAGGTATGATTTAACACCATCTGACGAAGGTATGAACCATGAGTAACATATCGTTTCTTCACAAACACAATATTTTAAATAAAATTCACACGGTAGAGATTTTAATACCCTTAAATTGACTTACCCCCCGGCGAAGAGATGCAACAGAGTATCCTTCTGCGCCATGTTTCGCCTTTTTATTTAATTAGTCACCATGTTTTAAAGGACGGACGTTTTGAATCGAAAAGATAAGGGAGTATTATAAAACGCTGGTGAGCAGCTGGTGATCTGTAGCCGTGTACCCCGGCTTTCTGGTAAGGACCTGTCAGAGAGCAGGGGCTCCGCCTCCTGAGCTGATCGGTTCCGTCCGATTTACGTCAGAGGGCCGGACGGGGGTGTAGGTTCTGACGTCGCCCCACGTGCTCCTCAGCGTTTCTCCTTGGCCTTTTTTCTAAAAGTGTTGCACAAACGACTAACATCAACAGAGCTTTAAAAAAACAAGTGGGCCAGACTTTGAACTGCTGCTGACCTTCAACAGGGTCAGAACAAAATAAAACATTGCTTATGTCATATCTTTATTGTTGGGATTTGTTATGATATTTGCATGTGTATAAATACATGGTAAAAAAAAAATAATAAAAAATGGGTGGAAGTGTCCTGCTGTCTTTGAATCACATTTAAATTGATTTCACCAAAGGAAAAGATAAAATCTAGACCTATTGCTTGATATAGGATCCATTTGATTCAACTATCTGAGGTTTTTCTAATCCTATTTTTTGTGTATGTGACTAAGAAGTGATCCTTTCTCCCATTCATGAAAGTGGAGGCAGTATTATTTACTTTCTCCATCCTCCTTTTATATAAAAGACAAATGTATAGCAGGCAGTTTTGACATCAATTAGTTTAACTAAATATGTATTCCAGATGTCTTAAATGCATTTCTACCTGGTCAAAATGAACATTTCAGATATCTAAAATAACATTCCTCCTATCTAAAATATACATGGCAGATAGCTGGAATTTAATTCTTACTAGTACAGATTACTTCATGTTTCCCATTCATGTGTATTGGGATTTTACTTCCAGATGTCTAAAATAACATTCTTTCTATCTAAAATGAATTGTGACTTGGATGAACTCTAATTTCAGATCTCCATAATAGACTTACTGCTAGTCATAATTACTATTTCGGATTTAAAAAATTAATATATATGTACATTTCCTGCTAGCAGGAATGTAGTCTTGACTAGGACGAGTCCTATTTTAGAGATCAACAAATGGAACTATAGGGAGGGCAGTGCTTCTAATACATGTCAAAACGGCCTGCCACAGCGTTGCCTCATTTCAATCAAGAACTATCCCATAAAATTTTGATTAAAAGATCATAATCAGCGTCAACCTATCTAAGTAACAATGGCTGATCTATGGCTGGAGAACATTCTTTGAAAAATATATCAACATAAGCTCTAATTATGATTTTTATCAGTGGTGCCCATATATGGAGTTTCTCCTGACCCCTTAAAATAGGTGTCTTTTTACGTTAAATTGGAAATGAAAATGTATGTATTTTTGATCAAACAACAATACATAAAAACCTTTTTTTCCTGAGAAAATCCAATTTTATTAATCATTTAATTTATATTTTTTTTATGGTATCACTTTCCAGCTGATTAGAAATATATTTATGAAATTATATAGTATAGACATATTTAATTCCAATTAAATTATGTAACTCTAAAGTAACAAATGAAGGACTTATTTATTGAACTCTGGCACCTTTTTGTCCTGCTGTGATGCACTACACCTTACATTACTTTAAATGTTTGCTAGAGTGTTTATTATTGTTGTTTAGAATAAAAATATAGCAGGTATAAAAGTGGTGAGCGACATATCTAAAATAAATCCATTAATTATTTCATATGGCTTTTTACAAGTATTTTCTAGTTGTTAGTTTGAAATTAGGGACGCACTATTTATTTGGCCGAATAAATTTTTGCCTCCATTTCCTTAAACTTTTCCCCTGATCTTATCTACTTCTGCTAAGGAAGTTTTTGTTGTTCTGAATATGAAAAATATATAAAATATAAAAGGTGTCTAATAACAATTGACAGTGTCATTTAAAGGAAACAAAAATCTGAATGGGTCGGAATCAGCATTTCTATTATAAAATAGGCAATCAGTTATTATCCAGAAACCTGAAATTGGTGCACCCCTACTTGAAATCATTTGTTATCAAGCAATGCAGCTGACATGCGATTTTATGCAAATATGAATATTTCTAAGTTACAGCTTGCTGATATAAGATACAGTATGCATTCCATTTGTTTTGATTGAGATGGGTTAACCATGGAAGCCGCACTAACAGCAGGATGTAAGGTATTGGCAGGGAGGCCCTATATAAAGCGGCATCATCCCGTATAGTTAACAGAAACATCTTTTTGGAACGTACCTGCAGACACTAGTTCAAAGTGAGAATCACCTTCAAAGATTGTGGATAATAACCAATCCCAATGACTTTTTAAATGCAAACTGATCAAATGTTATGGCCAAGATATTGGGTGTTATGAAAGCGATCATATTAATTAATAAAACAGTGTGAAGGATCTTCAGGAAGATGAACAGTGGGTAGGTAAAAGCCATATAAACACTAAAATGTGCTGCAAAAACAGGTATTGTAATGGAAACCTGTTTGTGATAACCTGTTCTGTCAAGAGGTGTAAAAATATGCTACTAGGACAATAACAAGGAGTACATGCTGAACTGCATGCTTATCTTCCTGCAGCTTCCTGCTGATATAATAGCTCTGAGAAATCTTCCATGAACTGCCGACCTGGAATTAACATGGAAACAGGGAGATAAGGACAAAAAGAAAACAACCTGCCTGTTTATGACAGAAAAATGCACACATGAACGCATACCATGATGAATGACGGGAATGGTTATGTTTGCATTAAATCATACATTATTATTTTCTCCTTCGATGTGATCTTTGAAACATGGAAATCAACTCCTCCTGAAGCTATAAGGGTATTTACAGATGGGAAAGATATTAAACTCTCATTGTTTGCCACGGCAATATCTATGTTGTTCCAAAACATCTCGTCATACCAGACACATTTGCATGTTGGGCTGTTGAAAATTATAACAATGCTTTTGTCATAAGCTTTCAGCAGGGTGTTGACATGGAAAACATGCTTTATTTTGCTTACTTAAGTAGCTCTGGATGTTGTTTATTAGTCATAGCAGTGCAGGATCTTTGAATTGTGTAACATTAGGGGTACGTTTTATCAGTCATGCCAGCTGAACTAATTTAAGCTTGTGTAAACGATCGCAGCTTTGACATTAGATACAGCTGCTCAACCTTGGTGATAATGTCTCTGATGTGCCTCATTTCAGAGGCACGTAGCTCTTTCTGCTATATTTATGTGACAGCCTAGGGGTGTGTACTCAGACTGCCTTATGATAGGACAGAGGTGAGCAAAGAGATGTTCTTCTTCCATTTGCGTGTTTCGCATGTGTAATTTGAGAAGCTGGTCCAAATATCTGATATGCATGGCATAAGCTAAAGTCATGAAATGCCACTCACACATTTTTGTCTCTGAGCTGTCATGGGTTTAGAAATTTGGAAAATAGTGACACCAAGTGACCAAAAATTCAATGCACATCCCTTTTTATTTAATTTTAAATTAAAGTGTCTCATTAATCTCATCTTTGCTGCTGCTCCTAATCCTGAAGTTTATATAAAAACAATGAACAAATGTAGGGATTAAAATCTCTGTCGGAGACAGAACAGTTTGAGGGTTCCTTCTCCTCTATAATCCTTATTAACCCATGTAGACTCTAATAATCTAATTCATAATCTAGAAGATGCAAGAATTATGAAGAGTTCCTCATCACATATAAGGTGGCATCAGTAGACGTAGTTACAATTACTTAGTTACATTTATTGAGTAACTTTTTGAAAAAAAAAAAATGTGAGACATGTAATATAAGATATGATAAAGTATCACTACTGTTGCCTGCGTAAAATTTCTGGCTACTCCATCCACTGTAACTTCTGTTAAAGATATATTGGAGGATGTTCTTTTTCCGGGTGGATCATCAAAATAAGTGGCCCTTCTAATTGTCAATCATTCTGGTGATATGCTTACGTGAGACCGTCCTACGTGCTCGTTCCCTTTTTTACTTACCGGTGGTGACTCTAACATAGTGGAAAAATTGCAAATCTTCTTTTGAAAAGTAAGATTAAATGAGCGATGCAAACAGCAACTTTTAAACAGAGCCTGCATGAGGAGAAATGGGCTCATGCATGCACTCGCACTTGTTCGATAGGCGAGTAGCGGATACAGGGTCGTTTTTTTTAATGCAAATGCATTATACCTTTAATAAAAACAAGCCTTTTTTTTAAATAAATATGTACCACTGAGAGACTTTCTTATTATTTGGAGGTTGAGTGAAAATACAGTAAACAATATACTGTAATTTAACCTATTCTACATACTCTGAGTATGTAGAATAGGTTAAAGTTTTCTCACTCAAAAAATGTCATTTGAATAGTGTTCATTCTACCAATTTTTTATTGTGTAATTGCTGCATGTGCTTATTTTTTATTGTTTTCTTTGAGACACTGGAATTTGCATATAATTTAGTATTTTGTTCCATTTCATCATTTTGGAAAATATTGAATCAGTTTTTATGATCATGCACGAGAAGTAGGTCAGTTCTCAGTGCTAAAGTAGCCTTTCTACCAAATACTTTTTTTACTCTTACTTGTGTAATTTTTTTTTAAATTTCTTTAATTTCACACTTTTCCTGAGATAAATATGAGGCTATGCTACTCTTACAACTTGTGTGCGTACTCTGCCCACTGTTGAGTATCTGAGATCATCTATATCTCATGATCACGTATTGTAGTTGAAAGGACCACTAAATTGTGACTTTAAATGATGATAGAATACACCAGTGTGTTCATTAATGGATGCAAAGCTCCAACCTGTCTAAAAATCTTCTGCACTCACCACAAAAACACTAAGATACTCTAATCTATGAAGAATCTGAAGATGCTAACAGAACCAAATCATTTGCAAAGACACATTTCAATCTCTAGGCTAACCCAAATCCATTGACATCCAATTCTAACACACAAAACCACCATTTAGTCTGAACATGACGCCCTCAACAGCTCAGACATTTTAAAGTTCTGTTTCATTGTTGTGCAGCCAGGACTATAAGCGCATTGCCTTTCTTGATTCTGGCATCAGTTGATCATCCTGAGCCTCCTTCCCAGGTGCCTGGAGTAAACATTCCCAAAGTGGCTGAGATGTGTGATCCCTCCATAGCTGGTAACAACAGTGCGTTCCAGAAATGTCACTCGTGGAAACACGTAAATTTTTTATATACACGGACTCTGAACCTTACAAAAGGATTATTAAAAACCCAGTTTTTTAAAGAAAAAAAATAAAACAATGCACCAAAGTTTACAATCTAAAAGGTCTAGTACTATAAAAATGATCCTATTCTCCATCATAAATCATTTTAAAAGTGTTTGGAAACTACCCAGCATGCAATGCAGCTTTTTATTACTGTAAATGATATAAAAGTGAAGCCTTTTGAACCTGAGTGTACAGAGTCTGTATGCAAGCCCCATCAACCACACAGCAGAGATAACCAATCCCATTTAGTTACATAACAGTTATATTTCAAGGCCCATGACCTGCTTTGGCTTCCTGCAGAGCTCCCTGCTGCCATAAAGTGAGGCGTCACATTTCGCTGACAGTCATATGACTCTGAGCTATTTGTGGATAGATAGTTTGGCCTCAAGTGAATCAGTCTCTCAACAGTCTCTATATTGTTTGGTTAAAATGTGTTTGCTGGTTTCAGTCATGCAGAGAAGTGATTAAACTACTGGCGCTTCGAAGATACTGGAGCATTTTTGAATGCATCTGACCAGATTCTCCGTTTGATTTTGCTACAGCTGTAAAAGAGATGCAGACTCCAATCAAGCTTCTTTTCCTGCTCCAAAATTTCCATTTACATGTGTGTTGTTTTTGTCATCAGTTCACAGATAGAGTTAGCACACCTTTCCCTGTTCCCGATCCATTTTCAGTAATATCTAAAATATATTGAAAATAATCAAAGGTAAAAAAAAAAAAAAGACCACCTAATTAAATATAGAAAAAAATATTAACTTAAAGCATTACAAAAAAATAAAAAATAAATCCCAGCACCTACAGTATTCCAATGAATCAATTTTTACATGTTTACTATAAATATTTTGTTTTGGGTGTTTGATATCACCATTAAGGAGATATCACTGTAAAAAGATATTTTGCAGTGAGCCAGAAAAAAACAAAACTTTTCCACAAAGGCCTCTATGCAAAGGGTGGTACTTTTAATACTTTTATCTGCCACCAGAGGGCAGAAGTATAAAACAAAGCAGCTTTTTTTTTTTTTTTTCCTAAGTTTGTAGTGGTAAAGGTTTAAGAATTGATTCCTCTTCTGTAAACCTCTGCAGGGTTGTTTTCAACAAAACGCTCTGGAAAAAGTGCTGCTTATCATTGAAGTAGTCCTACTATATTTAGCCATCCTTTTTCATGACATCTGCCGTCTCGCCTGTTCAGAAGTGTAGAGAAGTAAACAAAGCTAAACCATGCCAGTTCAGCATGACGTTGACGCACAGCTAATGAGGCAGAACAAGTGAGAACACCTGGTCTGGGTTGAGCCTGACAATGAACAACGTCAACAAGAGGAATACCTGACTGATGGGAAATCCACGAGAAATGTATGAGCCGTTCTTTTGACGTTTCTGTTCAAACACTTCAGGAAACAAAATCTATTAAACAAGTAAAGGAAATCAAAAACTGAGCCAAAATGCCAAGCAAATTAGAAATCATGCTTAAAACTAATGTTTGTATTTTCAGTGTCGATTCTTTTAACTTAATGTCATCTCCTAGATCGTTTTTAATCCTTTTAAAATGATGCAATCACAAAAGGCAGATTACCATAACTTAAATTCTAACATCTATTTTATATAAAAGTATAACTTGAGCAGGCAATGAACAATACAGTTAATGTGAAATAATCTTTAATAGATAAACAAATTTACACCAAGTAATACAAATCAAGTGGAAGCAAGCAAGTGTACCAATTATACACATTTAAAAACAGACTGCTTTATGATATGGCATTTGACAAATTGTTGGGGATCTGACCTACTTTCATTACATTTGTGCAACACATTGTAGATTGTCGCTTTCTGTCACACGGTGCTTTAAAAACCCAAAGTTTATCAAGTCAGGCACCTACAAAGCCAGCTTCCAAAGACCCCTGACCCAACTATACAGTTCATAAACACAAACAAAACAATAGTTCTCAGTTATCTGCCAGTAGGACTCAAGAGTCAGTCAACATTTACATGTTTTTTTTTCCTGCATTCTTTGTTTTAATATGTGCAAACCAGTGCTCAAACATGGAGATTATGGGAGATTAAAAAATGCTCTTGGGCCTCAACAGCACTTGGTCAGAAATTACACTTAAAAAAAAGCAACAAATTATTAAAAGTTTGAGAAGTTTCCTGCAGGTGCATGCTACAAATGATCACAGTGACAGTTTTCTGTATTATGCAGATATTCCCGCGCAGCTGCAGCTGAGCGGATGAGTCCATGTTACAGAGAAACCTGAGCGCAGTGAGGGGTCTGTGCTGCTTTTAAACTGATTCACAGTGCACCAGGAGCTCTCTATAAAACTGTCATCTTTTAGTCAGAGTGAACATGTATCTAAAAACCATTTCTAAAACCCAGAATTTTATAATGCTCAATTTGAAACTTTTGCAAGTGTGCTGCCATCTTGTGGTCTGAGAACAGTAGTGCACTGCTGCTCCTGGCCCGGTGATCCATCGCCTCATTATTAGCACAATTTCATATAGATTCCCAAGGCTATGAGACAGGAATGCATAACTGGGTGGGAAAAAAAAAAGGTTGGAGGTCAGAGCAGACGCCACATTAACCTACAGACTTGGAAGTGGTTCACCGACATGGTGACTGTCAGGGCATCATTTGGATCAGGGTGTGCATAGTACTCAATGATTCCTGATTTTACAAGATTAAAGATAACAATTGGAAAAAAAAAACAGTCATAAAAACAGGATAAGAAACTCAAGAGGAGTCTTGCCACTGACAGAAGTGTACTTGCTGATTCACGCAGGTGGCTCAATCAGTCCTGGAGGCTTCAGTAATGCTGCCAAACGAGTTAAACCCAAGGACGTTCCCAGAGAGTGAAGCAAGGGAGTGCCGAGTGTGTTGTGTAGGTCAGCCTCGTCATTGGTACAGCAGGTAGTTCTTGAGAGAGGCTGGCAGGGGGAGTCTGTGGATTTCGTTCAGCCGGTCTCTTCCTAACGCCACCCTCACCGAACGTCTACACAAGTCCATCAGCGAGAGAGGTTCAGCTAGAGGGAAACAGAAGAGGGAGGAGGGTGAGGAATGGGATCAGACTGAAGAGACACTTTTTAATAACTCTACCTGAGCAGAAGACTGCAGGTCTCCCGCATATTTAGATTTTATAATTCAAAGTATGACAGACCAACTGATGTACAGTAAGTTACTCATAAGTCGTGGCATCTAGCTTATCCAAAAACTATGAGTAACTTGTGCACAACTTATGCGTAACTTATCAAGAACTTATCTCCAATGCATATCAGCGTATTTGAGGTGTTCCAGACGACCGCTGAACATGTTTCTAACTTAAAGCTATTGTTTAATGGCTTATTGGCAGCGGTTTGGTATAAAAAGGGGTTCACAGGAGGAAGCTCTCCTTCAGACTTCATCCTCATCATAGGATGAGCGAAGTCGACTTTGATGGATCCTTTCACGCCCATGACAAATAAACTTCCTAGCAGACATGATGCTGAATCTGCGCCGACTGCAAACCCTCTTTTTCTATTTATTTATTCCTTTTTTTGGGTGGGCGGTAAACAGCAGCTAGGTTAATACCACAATCAAATAAATCTTTTTATGCAGGCTGGGCGCCTTCGGGTGCATTGCTGCCCTCCTCAGGACACTGACTTTTCGTGGGCATTACGCTGTTGTGCGTTATGGATAAGTTAGGCTGTCGGGCATACACTCTGGACTCATGAATACTCTGTATACTGCCAAAATAAAAATACATAGAAAGCTCAGCGTATGCCACTGTTTTAGGAGATTCTGGGACGTCAGGTATACGCTGGCAAAATCGTCAAAGTGTGACAGCGGCTTTAGATGCTTTTAGAGGGTAAATCTTTAATCCGCATTTAACAATTCCAACAGCTTTAAAAAAAAAAAGGTGAAATCATTGACTTAAAACAGGCAAACCCAAAGTAGGAAGAACCGCTTATACACATGTTCCACACAGAGTGTGGTCCTGCAGGGGTGGCGCCCACACAGGCAAATCATGCCAGAGTTTGGCACCAGTTGTCACAGTTATCGAGGAAGTAGGTAGATTTTCCAGCTACAAACTTTCTGTAGGATGTATCAGTCAAGCTGTCAGATGAAAGCCTTTCAAACAATTGTCCTGATGAGGAGGGGAAAAAAATAATCTAGCTGCAGCTAAGAGGGTGTGTGTTTATATCAGAGTTCAGGTCTGTGTTGGAGCTTTACTTCTACAACCCCAGCTATACATGAAAACATCCTCAATCTTAGAGCATGGGATCAGCTATGCTCAAAAGCCAAAAGAAATAGAAATGTTTGCTTGAAACAAGAAGCTGGCTTTTTGTGAATAAGAGATTATCTGTGGTGGTTTTCTTGCAGATTCAAAACTAGGTCAAGGGATCCGAGTCGAACATAAAAATCTAATGAGCACAAAGCACTTGGGACAGATGGCGAGTTCACAGTCTGAGGTTTCTGCACCAAAAGCTGGGCAGAAATGGGAGTAATCCACTTCTACGTGGAGTTCTTAACTCTCTGATATTGAGCTGTGTTCATTTGCAATGATAAACATCCAAACAGGAGGTTCCCCAAGACTGAATGACAAAGTAAAGCTCAGTCTGAGTGAGGAAACTCCTCTTCCATAAGGTCACATGTCCCTATAATGTGAAGAGGAAGACTCGCTGATCAGATAAATGATCCAACTAAAAATATCAAACTGATCGCAGATCATTTCTAAATATTAACCCATTTAGGCCGGGAAAGCATTACCGCATTTCTACCATTCAAGCCGGGGGTGCTGTTGCGTCATTCTACCATTGACGCCGGGAGAGCATATAAGTCAAGCAAGAAGAAAGAATTTTTTTTCAAGCAAACATGGAGGAGTTTGACAGAGAAGAGTTGTCGGAAGGCAGTGATTTTGAGGAGTGTGTCGGCTTTGATGACGGTATAGATGAAATGATGACTTTGAACGCGCTGAACCAATCGAACTACCACAGCAATGCACGGAGTGTTTTCAACCGCACACCTGGAGTGAAAGTTGATTTGCCTGCAGACGCCACACCGCTGCAGGCATTTGAGCATATTTTTAATGAAGAACTTTGGATGCATCTAGTTACCGAGACGAATAGGTACAGTGACCAAACAAACCAAACTCCAACAAGAGCAAAGATGGCAAAGTGGTCACCCGTGACTGTGACGGAGATGAAGACATTTATTGGGCTGTGTATGTAAACCTCTCTTCAGGACGCAGTTCCCCCAAAATATGTCCCGGGACAGATTTGTGGCCATCTGGAGGTAGGTTGTATGCAATTTATAACACAGACATATGCATTATTATGCATAATAATACTGTTAATAAGTAATCATCAGATAGTTATTTATGTAATGTTTGTTCTTTATTTTGAAAACGTTTTATATTGCACATTCTCAATGAAGACATGATCACATATGGAAAAAATAAAAGGTTGAATTTTTTTTTTTTTGATTACTGCTTTTCACATTTTTTTTTTGGAAGAATTTCAAAGATAAAATATATTTTGAGTTCTATCTGCTACAGAAGCTGAGATATCAATAATTAAGGCGTTGACACAGTTGCTGAATTTACAGAAAAACTTCAGGTTTTAGGGGTATTTTTTAAAATCGGCCATAGGTTTTTAAGGTGTTTTTTCCAGGCGTTTTAGGCCTAAATGGGTTAAATCATGCAGGTGCTACAAAAATAATTCTGCTGCTCTCTATTTAAACCGGTTTGGATGTGAAAACAAGGCAGGAACTGTCAGACCTTTACAGCATCAATAAATTTTCTGATTATAAAACCCTTATACAAACACACAGTCGCTCATGGCAACAGGATATGTTGAAATGGTTTTATACTTACGATCCAGCCCGTTTATGTACCGGATTCGTATTTCACAGTGCCCCCACACGGCGCTCACTATGGGATGCAGCTTCTTTCCTTTGAGTCCTCTAAACGCCACTCCGAGGTAATGTCCATCCACGATGTAACCCAGTGTCCCCTCATCCATGTCCAGGACCACCAGGAGGGAGTCTGGTATTATGAAGGTGTCGTCTGGCTCCAGGAAGGCTGGGTAGGTTTTTCCTGGGAGATTCTTGCCGTCGTGGTACAGCTTACTTCTGCATAAGTCCCAGCCCCAGGATTCAGAGTTGCTCCCCACCAAAGCTGTGTAGCTCACCGAATGTAGCGGCGCGTCACTCGTCGCTACACCAACCACCGCGTGCGTGCCCCTCTGGCGCATGGCCCAGTTGATCTCCCAGACATGCAGACCCCTGGTGTAGCCCACACGTCCCCTGATGGCGTCTGTGCTCTGCGCCACAGGGTGCCTGTGAAACACCAGCTTGTTGTCGTCCTTTACAAAAACGTTTAAGGAGCGGTCATCGTTGTTCCACGAATGCTGGATCTGGGTATCAAGGCTGGCGGGCGGCATGTCCAGCAGAAGGTCTAGCCGAGACGGCTTTGTGTGACTCAAGGCCTGTAGCTCCAATGTTAGCGGACTGAAAGCCGGGTCCCGCATGTCAATAGTTTTAATGCCACCTGGGACTTTCTGCCCCATACTCCAGGTGGGTATAGCGCCTCCTTGTTGCCCACCTCTTTCTCCTCCCCCCGCCTCAGAGATTAATGGGGGGAGTAGTCAGCCTCAGACCCTCCTCTCTGTTGTGCTGCTTCAGCCTGATAAGCCGCTGTGTTGTGCTACTTCTGATGCAAACCAAGAAGCTGAGGCGACAGAGGCCAGGCTGGACAAATGAGAGGTAAAAAAACACACACAAAAAAAAAAAGTCAGTAAGTGAATTCTTCTGTAGACCTGATGTAAACAAACAGAATTATGAGGCTTTATTTTTTTTTTTATTTAAAGATAGAAACTATTCAGAAGTAATTGCACACAACATTCAAAGTAATTTTTAATCCTCACGTTTAGTAATGTTATATTCTTAATTATTCAAACTACAGTCTCATACTACTCCTTTGGTTATAGACATTTAAAGGAGCTTGCATTTCCCTATGAATTGTTCTTTAAAAAAAAAAATCTTACACTTTAGCTCATTTTGTTGATGAACTTAAACTGATGTTTGAAAACCTAAAGCTCATGGTATACTTTAGGAGTGTCAAGATACAACTTTGTTTCCAAATACGACAGATGTTGCATTGAGAAATGGACTATACTGATATTGACCTGATATGATGTTAGCATGAATCATCAGCTTCCATTACCGCCCCTCCCTTCAGTTATCCCTCTCTGCACCACCCCTCCTGTAAACACAGGTTCACTAAGCTGCTGCTAGCATAAGCATGAAGATGGAGAGAGCTATGATTTTTTTTTGTAAAACTACATTTCAGTACCTCATAAGCGTCCTCATAGAAACATGCTGTTAGGGCACATTAAGAAGAGATGAGTTTTATATTCTCTAGTTTTGGTAAACATTAGCAGTTTAGCTCTTTGTGAAATAAACATAATTTGAGAAGGAAAATAAGATCATTATATCGTGTCCCACTACACCTCCTGACATGCAGGCTGTTCTGGGGCTCATAAATTCAGAAGTTAAGGTTTTCATTAAACCAACTTTTAAGAGGCTCTAACTTGTATGCATTTATTTGTAATACTGTTTGGTTGTTTAAAAAGCTGCAGAATTGCTCCTTGTGTTCAATGGAGGATGAAACCTTCAGTTGCTTATAAATATTACAACTTTTGTGCTGAGGTGTTTTTGTGGAGAGGTCTCCAATTAGCCAGTCTGTTATCACTTTAAGCTTCATGCAGCCCCCTTTTTTATGTTTCTGTTGAATTGCAATCTAATTAGCAAAATAAACTAAATGTATATACATTAATTTCACAGGCAGGGGGGAACAGTTGGTGTGGAGCCACTTCATGAAGGGTTTAACAGCCGTTGGATGCAGCATCTGTGGTGTTAAAGTTAGTCAGGGCTCCAGGTTCAGAAATGCAAAAAACACCACAGATTTAATGTGATAACCAAATCAGTTTTTCGTTGACACTGCTCAAATTAAAGTTGCTCATTTCTATTCTAGAGCTCTGTTTCTTTATCTTGAATCGTATTTTTTGTAATTATGAGAATTTTAATTAGCCTATAGTTGCACAGTGCACATCCTGTGTTATGCCCTTGTTCTATTTTTTAAATACTCAGGCTGATATAGAGTATAATTTTTGTTTTAAAAGGTTGGTGACACCAGGTTTAATCTACAGTAGCTTAACAGTATGAAGGCAGTTCATCCTGAGACATCAGAAGACCACCCACACATAGAGAGACTGGACTCAAGGTTTTAGAGTTATAATCTGAATAGCTTAGCATTAACATAAAAACATCCCTACTGTTGATAAATCAAAGTCTATTCAGCATATGATCCAAAATGCTGTGAATAAAATATTTAGAAAAAATCTAAATGTCATAGATCAGATGATAACTGCTTGTGATATGAAACCTCTCTAGTTTGTTTTTATATTTTCGGTGACAATCGCATCACCTTAAGTCACCTAAATAAAACGAAAACTAATACTCCATGCTGAATATCTAGTTACATTAATGGAGCAGTGGGTGTGTGAATTAATAAAGGGTTGCCAATGAGCCCTCATTTGTCCTACAGAAACAGCCCAACTGTATTCTTTTCCATTAGTAGCCCAACTATTAGGGTCATCATAACACTGAATCAGTTTCCATTCCTGGGTACCAGGATCATTAATGGCAAGTCAGCTCCACAGAGAGTTATGGGAGAACATAAGGGATAAATACAGGAGATGGAAGGAAGATATAAACCATTATCTAATGGAGAGAAATTAGCAAGAGGATATGCGAGCGTAAGCTATGTAATGCAAGTTTATTATTGTGATTCTATAAACATTAACCCAAAACATACAATAATTTACCAGTTGAAGTTATTACTTTTGAAATCACTGGCGACCCGCCCCCATCAGTACAACTCAGGGTGGTTGGAAGCACAAACAAAGAGGTATTAAGAGTAGTCCCAGTATGAATAGGAAACCTTACACATATCAACTGAATGTGGGAAACAACAGAGGATCTGCAGGGCTGCAAGTCTCCTAGAAAGGAACTTTGTTCTCATGTGATTCTTAGAAAGAGGGAAACACATTGGGATAACTGTAATCCAAGAAATTTTTGTCTCAAACCCAGAAAATGTGTGCGTGCTACAGCACAGGGTTAACAAACATCTGTGGAAGGTGAATCATCCTCATGAAGGATTAATAACGCACAACTTTTCAGTTTCTTCCAATAACTTGTGCTGTTTGGCATTGTTTCTCCTTTTATCAGCTCAACACACCATGGAGCCAAGCCTGAGGAACAAGATCAACAAGTTTCTGTTACCAAACAGCTAAACGTCTGTTGGACTGAGATTGACTATAATAGACTGAATTACGAACCAAATAGATGTAGCCGTTTAAACTTTAAACAATAGTCTTCCTGCTGACGTAAAAACAACCTTTACACACGCACACAAAAAAAGCAAGAGACTAAAGCTAAATAGCTAAATATTGTGAATAACGAGCTCCTATGGACGACTGAATTTCTTTTAAAGTAGTTTTATCCAGAAGGTAAACCCCAAAGTTTACACATTGGAGGAGGCATTACAATATTTGATGGATAATTGATGAGTCAGGATTTATAGACAGATGTGAAATCCTGTTCAAACTGTTTCTTAATTTGTAGCCTATTGAAATGTTACTTTGATTCTTCATGTAATCATACACAGGACATAAGAGAAAATATCCTAATGATTTCCCCTTTCTTTTGATAATTTAGGAATTTGCAAGGTAACAGTATTGTGTTTAAAAGCTGGTAGAATAGCAATAGCATTTTCAAATCGCAGAGGTACCCATTTAGTCACATTGCCTTTGAGGGGGAAAAACACCGATTTTTTTCCCCACATGACGATCTCAAATTGTGTCCCCGAGGTTACCTGCGTGTGCAGAAGAAAAGTGAGATGTGGCAGAAGTCAGTCTATGGGTGGATTTTAAAACTGTTAAGCAGTGGAGGTAGCCAGACGATACAGCAGACGATGCAGAAGAGGAGACAGAGAGCTGAACTATTAATTACAGCTTTTAGGCCCCGTCCACACGAAGACGAACCCTGGCCTAAACGCACAAATTTTTCACCAAACCAGCCTCTCATCCACACGAAGCCGGCGTTTCGGGGGTCTGTAAACGATCTTTTTTTTATTCAGCCTTCAGAGTGGGAGGATTTCGAAACGCCGTTTTCGCGTTTCCATCTTTACGTTCTAACCGCATATTTTTTTTTACAAGCATGCGTCATAGCGTCGCCTCTAAACACGCATGCGCGACCAGTATCACAACAACAATGGCGCCGTTGCTGCTAATGCTACTCACCCTGCTGTCGGGCTTACAACAGAATCTTCTTCTTCTGGAATATCTCCAGGAAGAACAGAGCAATATCGACGACATAGTTCAGCACCTGAATTTGACTTAACCACGAAAATGGACCCGCAGGGCAACCATGTATAAATATTAGTGCACATGCCCAACATTACGTCGCTTATTTTTGCTTTGGCACCACAGCGCCACTTACAGGCCTGGCATACATTTTGCAGCGTTTTTCATGCATTCGTGTGGACGCTCACATTTATTTTACGTCTCCGTCTTTACGGCAAACGTTTTGGAAAATATCAGCGTTTCGTGTTCGTTTTGACTTCGTGTGGACGGGGCCTTAGAGGAGTGATGGTATCTCAGAGTAGAAATGTGTGGGTGCAGCATCACAGTAAACTGTCCTGTTACAGTAGGACCCATCCAATTTCTTTTGCATTGTTGCATCCACCCAAATACTTATAACTTCCAAAATTTTATTGTCCCTCTGCTGTAAACATCCGCCTATGCTGTCCTCCATGTTTAACACATACAAACGACATAGTTTTCAGACATACAGTGTGAGCAGGTAGATGGCATCAGAGGGTCGGGCCACACAGCGTGAGAACATACATCGTAAGCTTTGAACTCACACCGTATGAAGAAACCGAATGGTTTCGGCATACAGTGTGAGCAGTAGCTGCGTGCAACGATGGAAGATATCACACAGTGTATGCCCAGCTGAAAGCTCCTCTGCGATGGACTCTAGACAAGCAAGCTTTAAAGGTCATGAAAAAACTGGTACATCTACATGCTTGTGGTTTGTGCATAAGAAAATCTAAATAAACTCGCAAAATTAGTTGAAAATAACCAGAATTGAGATCTTTCGGGAAATTGTTCATGCCTACAAGACATAAAGGTTAAAATGATAATATGTCAAAAATGTGTTTGATTTAAAAAAATACTAGAAGTGACACTTTGAAGATCCAGAGATTTCAACAACCAAAAAGGTAAATCCTGGTAAACTGTGCAACAAATCTTAGGATGCATTTCTTCCAGCAGAGGGAACCGACAGTATTCTGATAAAAATGAAAGTGAAATAAGAGGTGGTCATATGGGTTCATAAAAAATAAAACTAAAAAACCCACACCTCTTCCCAAACAGATTGCCAAACCCCTGCAAATAACTGATTTTGCAAAGTTTTCTTCAGCTCTATCAAAACATAGCATGCCTAAATCACAAAGATGTCTGGATTATATATTTGTTTTAACTCAACAATGAAATCTGTGTAGTTATTGAACAAAACACCCATTGTATTTGTAAAAGAGTATTCTGGAGGGATTTCCATGCAGGTGCTTCTGCTGCCCTGTGGTCATTCTGTCTGACTGTACAGAGTATTTTGTAATGTCGAAACTGATGCTGCAGGGAAGGCCACTCTAATTAAATTGTAGACAAGAGTTCATTGAGCACCGCCTCTTCTTCTAATGCAAGTAAACAACCATTTAAATGGGTCATGTCTCCTTAGTAATTGGAAAACAGGAGAGAAGAAAAAGCCAGCAACGGGTGGGCTTCATTTGAATGTAAAGTATCTTCTTTTCACTGGCTGTCCAGCACTCAGAGATTGAAACATGTTAATTTGCAAAACCTTTGAGTCAGGATGGTCACCATTATTTCCCTTCCTAAAAACTAACCAGAGCAAATAAAAGCTCTTCCTTCTTTTAGAATTGTGATTCATTATGAATAACAAAAGTAAAGGTTGGCTTGTTTAATTTGCAGGCTAAAAGCAAGGCTTGTGTCGAGAGGGGTTCCTGGGCCCCTGCTTTGGTTCAGAGTCTATTACAATGCAGGAGGGCTTATTGAATTTGCTGAACCCCCCCACCAAAAAAAAGAAAAACACTTGTTTGCATGTAAGGCTTAATTCAGGCAGATTGTTCACCAGCACAAGTTTACCAGTCATCATTCTTTTATCAGTTGGCGATCAAAGCCCCTGCATGCTATTCAGCTTTCAAGTAATGTTTTGTCTACATAAGGATAAAGAAAGTTGTATGCATCTGATTTTGAGAATGTACCTCTCATCCTCCCCATCCGCTATGGAATAGATACTTTCATTTTCCAGTTCAACCTACTGTGGCAGATACAGACTACATTTGTATAGCCTATATTCTACATTAGGGTATGTTTATATCAATCCTTCAGTACAGCTTACATCAAAGACAAGATTGATTTCACTGATAAGTGAAATGCAGATTCAACCCCATGAGGGAGCCTGTTTTGCTTATTTGAGATTGTCTAATCTCTTCAACCTCCATAAAAAAGAAGAAAAAGTTACCTTTTATTTCTATGCGGCCTTTATTATTTTTCGCAGAACAGGTCCAGGTCAAGTCAGTGCTTAAGATAACGCTTATTATAACTGCTACTTAAGTCTACCTGGACATTTTATGTGTTTTTTTTTTTATACATAGTAACATTTAGATTTTGGTGTGTACGGTTTTTCTCTGCTTAGTTAAGCTTTTATTTACATCATGTTATTTCATGTTCGAACAAGCCTAGACGTTAGCCTCTAAAAACAAGGTAGCGGAAGCTAACTAATAGCATTCAGCTGTACCTGTTAAAGAAACCAAAACATTGTATTCTTAAACATTAGTTAAGGTACTCTGGGCTTGTTTTGTACGAACAGACAAGTAAAAGCTCATTCGTAGGCCTTCTACCATGCTAGCGCTTGTTAAAGCAGGCAAACCACCAAACAAGCACTAGCTGGTCAAGCTAACGGTCGATTAGCTTTGACTTAAAAAAACCGAACATGGACGACCTCTCTTTCGAGACCTCGCTCATTTCAGCGTTTCCATAAAACCGAATCGAACTGAGAGTTTGCAAAAATAAAATATAATTAAAAAAGATTGCGAAAAAACCTCTTGTGATTAGCAAACACGGCTACAGAACGTGGCCAATACAATCGAATGGCTACAGAGACAAACGCCGGATGATTAATTTATATACTTCTAAACAAAAAAATATATGGAAAGCACTTAACAGCATTAAGAGTATTTTCAGAAATAAAATATGTAGTTAGGGTGCGAAGAGAGGAACACAAACAGCAAAACAGAGGCTTCGTCAGTAGCTTACGTGAACACATAGAGAACCGACCTGGTTTAAAGTTGTCAGGCGGTGAAGCGTGGAGGAGAACCGCCGGGTCACGGTTCGGTCTGCGTCTATTTCATGGTAGTTTTTCTCGCTCTTTTACCTTCTGCCATTTGAGCCCCTGACGTGAAAAAGGTGAAATGGTGATGACTGCTGTGACATCGCTCGAATCACGTGGTAAAATGCTCCCAGCTGCACCAGCCGATTAGGACCTCCCCGTGACGATTTGCAGTACGGGAGCTGAAACGGCTCCTTCGCAGGCTTCCGTATCATGGCGTCAAATTCGCCGCCATATTGTGAGTGGAATTAATCAGTAACCCCCGCTTTCATATGATTATTTATCACTTAGAGGAATACCCTTTATTATTCATGAGCCTAGAAGGTTTAAGCAAAGTCAAATACATGAATGGGTTGATTGACTCATTTTAAAGTTTGTTTCTATTTTCAAATTAAATTTTAATCAGTTAAAAAACTACAAAACATTATTGTTTTTAATATAATTGCACATATTTTAAGTGCATGTGATACTTGGTATCGTGAAATGTTTAGCTTCCCATCCAGGAAGTCCATTTGTTTGTTTTTTAACTTTTTTTGGAATTACTATGACCTGGGTGACTGATAATCTTCACCAGCATATTTAGTTTCCTGTTTTTTTTTCCATTATTATATGTAATAGTTAAAAAAAATTCAAGTGCTTTTCCTTTGTGTGACTGTATGCTTCGATTTGGACGTCTCTTTGTATATGGTAACCCTTTTCCAACTGAGAGAGAGCACTAAATGCATTTAAGGCTAAGAGATGTGATGCAAACGATTACCTTACACCTAGGGTATTCTGGGTCAAATTAAATGCAGCAGGTAATTTTCTACTTTTAAAAAGCACTATGTCGCCATCTAGCGGCTGAAGTACACACTTCATCCTGACTGAGGGTCACATAGTCTGGAGAAATTCAAAGTATGTATTACAGCCGACAGAGCTGAACATAGACTCGTATTGATCAGACTGAAAGCTTAATTGATGAGTTAATTTCATTATCCGACTTTTCCCTGCATCTTCATGCTCATTTTAACACGTGTCATGTAAAATTCTCTATGACATCAAGTGTAATAAAATTGACCTTTATACATGACCTTATTCGTGCAATGTGTGAGGTTTCTGAAGGTAGCTTAGTCCATTTTACATTTTATGTGAAGAACATAGCTCAGCGACTTAAATTACCTTCCACTCAGCTCATCTCTCTGTAAAAATCCCATCTTCCCAAGCAGAGATGGTGCAATGTGCTGAGCTCAGTGATATCTCAGGGCCGTTCTACAGTGGAGGAGGGGCAAGCAGACATGCTTACTGGATCCCTTTCAGAAACCATCACTTCAGCAGGATCGATAATATGTCCCACTCCACGGCTGGCAGAGTGTACTGCTTCCACAGGGGATGGAGGCATGGCATGGTGGGGGTGAGTGGAGGTATGCACTGACAGCTGCAACGGAGGCAAGTTCGAGCAGTGCTCGAAGTCAAGGTGAATGATCGCATGCTGCGTCAGACACTGCTGCTCTCTTGCTCCCAGTTGCAGTTTCTGAGGAAGACCGTTGGGTGGATGCAGCTGGAGCCAATGTAGCGAATAAGCCGGTGAACTACTTTAGTTACTAAGAACCTAATGTTCCTTTTTTCAGCATCCAAACTAATGCAGAAATTACAGACAAATCATTCTTCTCGGGAAGCTTTTTTTTCATCTTTAATTTATTCTCAACACTTTATTCCAGTGAAGGTTGAGTACTCTAATAGATTGATGCTATAGGTCAGAAGACATCTTATGTTTCAGAGTATCGCTTGCAATATAAGACCTCCACAGTTCAGCTCTGCAAAGGAGAAATCCTTACACAGCAACATGGCCTTTTCTTAGCACAATTGAAATGAATAGTAAAATAATTTTCTTTTCCTTTGTACAGTAGCATTGTAACATGTAATGCTTAAGAAGCTCATTAGGTACATTTATTCTATATTATGTCATATTTACATTATATAAGTGATGTTATAATAATCATTCATAGCACGCGATATTTATAGAATGCTGAAAGTTTTTTTTTTACTTAAACATGATTATTTCCGATTTATATATGAGCTTTTGAAAGACTAAACATGTAAAACATAAAAACAAAACTGAGTAAATGAGAAAAAAACTCCATAATAAAACAGACGCAACATAAATTTGGGGATAAATAGAAATAGCAGTAATGCTTCATGTCTCAGTATTAAGGAATGCCATGATACAATAAAATCACCATTGTTGACTAAGTGTTGAGGCTAAAAACAGTGTAAACGGCTGTTAAAATAGCAGTTATTTGAGACTTTTTTTTCCTTAAGATAATCTTACAGAAGGTTTTAGGAGGTTCTAACCTGGACTGAATGTTTTCTTTGAAAGAAAATACTTCATCTTGCATCTCTACATCCTGGTGCAGAGATTTGAAGCATACATCAGCCTGATGTCACTGTTACACACAACCAACACAGGATGGAAGAAGCTGCAGCTCTTTCAGTGTTACTGCAGCTTTCCTGTTACCCACCAAGACCAATTTAACTTATTAATTTTGAGGGGAAAAAACAACAAATGTCCATAGTTTTCTAATTTGTTGATGATGGACTTCATTGTAGCTTGAGCTGAAACCCCATATTTAGATCAACTAAAAAAAAAGAGATAATATGTATAGATAAATATGTCTTTTTCTGGCTGACTTTTCTGGTTTTGGTCATTCAGGATTACAAAATTAACAAAAAAATGATTTTTAAAATCAATTTCTTAATGTCCTTTCTGTTTACTTAGTTTTCTTTTTTGGTACCAGTCGCCACATACATTTCAAAGTCCTGTTTTATTTATTTGTTTAGGGTGACTGTAAATACAGTGTTTCTGATTCAGAAAATTCAAAAGACAAGATGCCTGTCTCTTTAAACCAACAGGAAAGGCTAGATAGTGATTTTCTGGTTTTTAAGGTTATTTCACAGCATTTGAGTTAACTGGATGCAAATCTGTATTTAAAGTCAAAACCTTAAACCCACACCCTGCTTGTTTCACATTATGGAAAAATCTAAATAGATCAGTAAATATGTCCGGAAGTGAACTATAAACCTCAACAAGTTACATTCATCTTTGTGATAATTTCCTATTTCGTTTCCTGCCGATTTATTTGTTCAAACTATAACATACATAGAAACATCGCTGGAATACTCCGCCATCGTTTCTTTCAAAGAAAAGGGTTTTGCGTCCCAGAGAGGAATTAGTTTTGAGTGTGAATCAATCCTAAAATAAAAGTATTGGGATGAAGGTGGTGAAAGAGCACAACAATCGACAGTTCTCAGTCTGTTACTGACTAAGGCTGGAAAGCCACTTAGAGATTGAGTAATAGAGAGGCAACATTCAGTAAAAAGGGGAATTATGAGTTTCAATAAACTCTATTTTTGCAAATTGATGTATTTGATGGAACTGGAATAGAAGAGTGGAGCTCTTGCAGGAAAACATGAGAGCTTGGAAGCCAGGAAACACCACACCAGCTATGAAGTACAGGAGTGGCTGTATCATGTTGTGGGATTCTTTTTTTTTTTTTTGCTGCAGTAGGAACTAGTGTAGATCATGAAATGAATGACATACTCCTGAAAAAACAACAGTATTTTAAATAAGGCAGCTTTTCAAAGCATCAGCAAGAAGTTGAAGCTTATGAGACAAATATATGAATCTTCTTTTTGGACAATGACTCAAAACATAGAGCTGGGAAAGTGGCTTAAGGCCTGAACTCAGTCCTACAGGGAATTTGCGGACTGAACTGAAAATTGTGTTTATGAGGAGGGCAGCATGTATACCTGATTCAATTCAACCAGTCCTGTTTGGAGGAAAGGACCACAATTACAGTTATGATGAGAAGCTAGGGGAAGAACAAGCAGAAAGTTAAACCAAAATCATGCATTGTAGCAAACAATACCGTACCAAACAAAATGGAAATGCAGGTTAAAAAAAATACAAGTAAAAAAATTAATAAAAAGAAAGGGTGCAAATAGTTTTGGTATCAGACATTGGGGGAAACATAATTCTCCTTATACAGTATAAATGCAAACACCTGGTTTTACCCACTTATGTACAGGACACATTCATTTCTCAGATTAAAAGTACCTTTTAAATAACATCAACATTTCATAACATTTTAAAAAGTGATTTAAAGTTATTCTAAAAATATGCTTTTATAGGTCTGATGTCACATCCCAACTTATATATCATGGATTTATTAGTTGCAAACAAAAATGATCATAATCATCAAAAATTAAGACTAGAAAACATCAGTCCGTGTGTAATGAACCTATATGATGTGTTTCATCTACTAAATGGATTTACTAAAATAAATTAATTCCTTTTAATACTCTAAAGTGTTGAATACAACAGTAGACATTTTGGAACAATGGGATAATTTTAAATAATGTATTAATAATGTAAATCCCGTTATTGTCCCAGAATGGAGAAATCCACTCTCTGCGTTTAATCCATCCCCTTGGGGAGCAGTGGGCTGCCATTGTGTGGCACCCGGGGAGCAGTGTGGGGTTAAGGGTCTTTCTCAGGGACCCAGATTGCAGGCTGTGGGGATCGAACTGGGTACTTGCAACCTTCTCAGAGCACAAGCACACTGCTCTGACCACTAGGCCAACACTCACCCACATTAAAGGGATAAGGTGTATGGATTACTGCCATCTATTGGCGTAATGGGGGTATTTCACTCAAATGAACACCCTAGCGCATCATTGCCTTAAGCATGTATTGCGACAATGTAAACCCAAAGTTCTTTGTCAAAAAGATGGTAATATGTTTTTTTTTTTAGGATCACTATCTAATTAATCAGAATGGAATAAGTTAGCTGAAGGCTAATTAAGCTGTTTACTTAGCTGTCAAAGAGAAGCATGGTTGCTTCAGTGTCCCTTTTGAAATGCACTACTGCATTGTGGTGCAGTAGTGCAGACTTTCAGTTGTCGGGATAGCGTCACCAAATGATCTTCACCGCCTTCTCTTATTCACCCATAACTGCCAGCAAGAGGAAACACGCTGTTATTCTGTGCGTTACTATTTTATCCCCCGCCGGCATCTGTACTTTTAAGATGGCCGACTGTCATGGAGCTTTGAAAAGCAGGTGGCCGGCCTTATGTAGAAAATCATGTAAAATTCTCAGCTTATGAAAATGT